ATCTTTCTTTAAGGGTATATTTGCAGCTGTTTCCTGTTAATCCTTTGTCTGTCTGGCTTCCTTCTTTAGGGTGATAGGATCCTTAAGACAAGCACAGAGTATGCCCTGCTGTGGTGTCCTGCGGGATGGACCGCCCTCTGACCCTTTAACGGTGTTTGATGTGACGATGCACCTGAGCCCACGGAGGTCTGTGCCTCGAGCCCCGTGGGCGTTTGCAGATTGAAGATGGAATGATACGCGCCATCTCTGAGATTTTTATTTGCTCAGACCTTCCCTTGTTCTGGCCCAACCCCACTTTATCACGTCTAATAAGTGGTGATGGGTTTCGGGGGCATAGTGACACAGGTGGCCCGGCAATGAAACTTGTTGGCTTTGGAGATTATCCTGCTGGTTCTGTTTCCTTCTTTGCTGATGATTGGCCCTCCCTGGCTCACCCTTAGAGAGCTTCCCAAATCCTCAGACTGGGGCCTGCTAATTAGCAGTCTTGGATCCTAGCTCTCACTGCCACGACCTTGCAAAATGCCTGTAGATCTGGATGGTGGCTGGTGCCCCTGGGCAGAGCAATCAGCACATTCACAGACCCACCTTCCTGGGGCTGGGGTGGGAAGACCAGACACCCCACTGATGTAGTAAATATGACTTTCATGGAGGCTGCTTCATGGGCCCTGGAAAGATTCTTGTAAAGTGGCTGGAGCGGATTATTGTAATTATACTCCCTCCACTGATTGAGTCGGAGGGGGTGTGAGACAAACACTCTGGCCTGGAGTAACCTGCCCAAGGTCAAGTGGTTGGTGGAGGGGCTGGCGCTGCCTCTCTCCTCAGACTGAGTGGTTGTGTTAATCACAGGAGAGCAGACACAGAACGACTCTGCCGAGGTGGAGGAGACCTGGATCAGTTGCTCAGCAAACCGGTTTTGGGCACCTGCTGTGCTGGGCACAGATGGCACTCAGTATGGTCAGGCAGGCCTTCCAGCAGGTGAGCTTTGGTTTGGTGGGTAGACAACCTCATTAACCTAAGTGCCATGATAGAAATCATCTGGCCCAGCCTTTAGTCTGGGTCTTGAAGGCGTCAGCCGTCTAGGAACATGTTTCCCCCCTCTTATTTTGCAAATCTCCAAGACAGAGATTTCCCGGCTCTTGATAGCTCCTTCTGGGACGCTTTGGTAAGGCTTCTCTAGCAAGTTGTGTGACAGGGGGCCCCAGAAGACAGAACTTTTGGAAGGGCACTGCCCATCCATCTGCTTTTCCCACCAACAGTCAAGGGCTGTGAACGCTGACCTGCTGCTGACAGTGGTCTGTTGTGCAGGTTCTGGGAGGGGCAGAGGGACTAGATCTGGCTGGGAAAATGTAGCGGAGATACACAGAGGTAGCCGGCTGTGTGTGCACAGGGCCAGGTGCAGGGCCCAGAGAGCCAGATGAGTGACCAGGGAGCACTGGGAAGGAACCATCTCCAGGCAAGGCCAGGACTCAACCAAGGGGACCCCAGAAGAAGAGAGGGGGACCTTGTGCAGCAGCCACAGAGAGAGAGAGAGAGAGAGAGAGAGAACGCGCGCCAGAAATTGAGCAGCCCGAGGAGATCCTCGACTCAAGTGCCACTGTTGGCTCAAGAAGAGCTTTTGAAGATTCACTTCACTTTAAAGGCCTGACATGCTTCCATGTTTAAAGTGCTACTGGGGTCAGTTTGTATGCTTGTAGAGTAGGGAGAGATTTTCTGCACGTGACAAGGTATTGATGAGCATTCGAAGCAGCCTACAGGCAACATATGTTGACTTAGTGCAGGGAAAGAATGCAGGCTTTGAAGGGAAAAGATCTGAACTTGCCCAGGGCCCTGGCACTTGCCACTGTGTGGCCTCACACAGCGACTTAATTCTCCCTTGGTTTCTGTCAGCTGGAGAGGACGACCCTTCCCCTTGGGGGCTTCATGGGAGTAGCGGGCGCAGACCATCTGGCCTCCTGTCTGGTCTCATAGAGTCTCCTGTTCATGCATCTAATGTCAGTAGATTCAACACCACTTAGCAAAAAAATTTTAAGGAGAAATGCATAATTTAGTATGGACATTTCACTCACTCGGCTCAGCCACTGCATAACCAGTATGAGCTCCGGGGGGACCCAGGGGTGTGCCAGGGCCCTCATTCTCCTCCCATAATCCCCCTGGGCCGAGTGGAGTTCTTACATTTTAATGGTTATGTGATGGACTGCATGTTTGTATCCTTCTGCAAATTACCCCTTTGTTTTTTGCTTGTTTGTTTGTTTTTGAGACAGTGTTGTCTGTTGCCCAGGCTGGAGTGCAGTGGTGAGATCTTGGCTCACTACAACCTTCCACCTCCCAGGTTCAAGCAATTCTCGTGCCTCAGCCTCCCGAGTAGGTGGGACTACAGGCACACACCATCACAACTGGCTAATTTTTTTGTACTTTTAGTAGAGACAGGGTTTCACAATGTTGGCCAGGCTGGCCTCAAACTTCTGACTTCAGGTGATCTGCCTGCCTCGGCTTCCCAAAGTACTGGGATTACAGGTGTGAGCCACCATGCCCAGCCTCCTATTTTTAAACCTTAACCCCAGAGGTGACAGTATAATTAGGAGGTAGGCTCTTCAGAAGGTGATTAGGTCATGAGGGTGGAGCCCGCGTGAATGCGATTAATGCCCTTATTAAAAGAGACCCCAGAGGGACTCTTAACACCATCTCACATATGAGGACACAGTGAGAAAATGCCGTCTATGAAGCAGGAAGCGGGCCCTCAGAAGACATCGAATCTGCCAGCGCCTTGATTTTTCCTTCTAGCCTTTCCTTGCCTTGTCTGGGTGGTGACTGGGCAGCAAATCCCAAAGAGGCTGAGTTGCCCTGTGCTTGAGGGAGCTGGGCAGATGGTACTTTGTGTAGCCTGTTGCATTTTGCAGAATGTCTTCTCTCACAGGGGTTCCTGTGGAGGAGCGACAAGAACCCCCTTAGCTGAGTGTCGGGAGGTTTTAGGTGGAGGGCTCAGGGTCACCCCCAGGGCTCATTTGACTTCTACCTTAGCTGGGTAGATAGGATCATCTTTGTCCCACAGTCCTCCCCAGTTTTGTAAAGTGATGCATTGGCGTGAGCCCAAGGGTGCAAAGGGTGGGCTGGCAATGCCCACGTTCAGTTCTCTGTCCCTGAGGCACGGAGGTGGTTGTGCTGGGCTCAGAGCCGCTGTCTGACTGGTTGGAGTTCTGCTCTGATTTTGTGAATCACCCTAGCTAAGTGGAAGCTCGGCGTAGCCTGTTCCCTCTGTGGGGGTGTGCAGAAGCGCTGTTTATTTTTGCCCAAATCTTAGAGTGATAAATGGAACTCATTTATAAATTCTGACTTCCAAAAGCTTTCCACTTTCTCCCTTAGGAACATGGATAAAATCTCCACATTTGTTTCTGGAAACATGGATTGTTACCTGAAACCTGCTTTTCAGATGTTCTTGATTTGAAAACTGTTGCCAGGCTGGGCGTGGTGGCTCATGCTTGTAATTCCAGCACCTTGGGAAGCTGAGGTGCTGGAATTTGAGACCAGCCTGGGCAACATAGCAAGACCCCATCTCTACAAAAAATTTAAAAGTGAGCTGGGCATGGTGGCATGTGCCGGTAATCTCAGCTATTCTAGGGGCTGAGGTGGTAGGATGGCTTGAGCCCAGGAATTCAGGGCTTGAGCAAACTATGATTGCACCGCTGCACTCCATCCAGCCTGGGCGACAGAACAAGCAAGACCCTATCTCTAAAAAACAAATAAATAAATACACATAAAAACCTTGCTTTTTTTTTTTTGGCCGGGAGTGGTGGCTCATGCCTGTAATCCCAACACTTCGGGAGGTCGAGGCAGGCAGATCACCTGAGGTCAGGAGTTCAAGACCAGCCTGGGCAATGTGGTGAAATGTCGTCTCTACCAAAAATACAAAAATTAGCTGGGCATGTTGGTACACACCTGTAATCCCAGCTACTCGAGGAGGCTGTGGCAGGAGAATTGTTTGAACCTGAGAGGCAGAGGTTGCAGTGAACCGAGATCTTGCCACTGCACTCCAGCCTGGGTGACAGAGCGAGGCTATCTCAAAAAATAAAAACCAGCCAGGCACAGTGGCTCACAGCTGTAATCCCAGCACTTTGGGAGGCCAAGGTGGATGGATCACCTAAGGTCAGGAGTTCGAGATCAGCCTGGCCAACATGGTGAAACTCCATCTCTACCAAAGATACAAAAAATTAGCCGGGCATTGTGGCAGTTGCCTGTAATTCCAGCTACTCTGGAGGCTGAGGCAGGAGAATTGCTTGAACTCGGGAGGCGGAGGTTGCAGTGAGCCGAGATTGTGCCATTGCACTCCGGCCTGGGCAACAAGAGTGAAACTCTCAAAATTAAAAACAAATAAAAAAAAATAAAATAAAAACCATTGCTTTTTTCATAATAGGTACAAATTTTAAAAAATAAAAAAACATTGCCATCTTCAAATCTCCACAAAAATGGAAAGACAGGACAGTGCCAGTCAGCCACTTTCTGCAGTTACCACGATCCCTTCTCTCTCCCTCATTTTTAATGTGTGTGTTTTTTTAATTGTGATATAATACACTTAGTATAAAATGTACCATCTCAGCCACTTCTCAGTGTGCAGTTCAGTAGTGTTAAGCTTCCAGTGTTTCGTAAGTGGCAGAGTTGATGGGAAAACACTGATCTTCAGGAGGGGTTTGTTCAGTGCCAGCATCCCTCTAGATGTGCAGGCAGATAAAAAGATGGTTCAGATACAGTCCTTAAATAGGTGCCAGGAGCCAGCAGGCCAGGGTGGGAGCCAGGACAAGCTGGCACCTAAAATAACGGTAACATAGGGCAGGTGGTGAGGCTCTGTGGATGGATCAGGGCCAGGGGCTGTGTGGGAAGGGAAACCTCACATCTATCCTGCTTCTTAGGGGAAGAGGTTGTGGAGGGGAGGGTGTTCCAGGCAGGAAATGTGGGCAAGAGGTCGGGGTCTAGAAGCGTTCAGTACAGTCGTCCTTTAATATCCACAGGAAATTGGTTCCAGGACTCCCTTGCGCAGCAGTCCCCAGCCTCCTCTTTGACACCAGCGACCAGTTTCATGGAAGACAGTTTTTTCACAGGCCAGAGGTTAGAAGATGGTTTCGGGATGAGACTGTTTCAGCTCAGATCATCAGGTATTAGATTCTTATAAGGAGCCCACACAGCCTAGATCCCTTGCATAAGTAGGCCACAATAGGGCTTCTGCTCCTACGAGAATCTAATGCTGCTGCCGACCTGACAGGAGGTAGAGCTTAGGCAGTAATGGAGCAATCTCACCGCTGTAAATACAGATGAAACTTCGCTCTCTGCCTACCACTCACCTCCTGCGCCGCAGCCCAGTTCCTAACAGGCCACAGACTGATACCAGTTCATGGCCCAGGGGTTGGGGACCCCTGCCCTTGGGGACCCCAGAATCCTTGGATGCTTCAGTCCTTATGTAAAATGGCAAGCTAGCTTTTGCATATAACCTATACACATCTTCCTGTACACTTTAAATCATCCTGAGATTACTTATAATACAGTCATGTACCACGTAATGACATTTTGGTTAATGACGGTGGTCCCGTAAGATGATAATACTGTATTTTCACTGTACCTTTTCTACATTTTGATATGTTTAGAAACAAATACCACTGTGTCCTGATTGCTTACGGTATTCAGTACAGTACCATGCTGTGCAGGTTTGTGGCCTGGGAGCAATAGGCTGTACCATGTAGCCCAGGTGTGTAGTAGACTGTCATGTAGGTTTGTGTAGGTACACTCTATGATGTTTGCATGAAGACAACATTGCCTAATGATACATTTCTCAGCATATCCCCTTTTAAGCAAGGTATGGCTGTATCTAATATAATATAAATGCTTTGTAAATAGTTGTTACACGGTATTGTTATTATATTTGTATTATTTTTATTGTTGGTTATTTCTTTTCAAATAGTTTCATTCTGAGGTTGCTTGAATCTGCAGGTGTGGAACCTGAGGCTGTGGAGGGCACACTGTATGCTCAGAAAGTGGCAGGCTCTGGTTGGAGAGTTGATGTAAAATGTGGGCAACAGGGAAGGTGAGGGTGGATAGGAGAGTTGGGGTCATCCTCTGTGGGTCTCAGAAGCCAGACTGAGGGTGTTGTGCTTTCTTTAAGGATAATAGGGAGCCACTGAAGGTTGTTAAGCAGGAGAGGGGGTGCCTTTGGAGCTTTGCGTTGGGAAGGTGGGTTTAGCAGAAGTGTGTGATGGTCCAGTGGGAGTCAGGTACCTAGAGCTGTTGTCTTGAGGGGAGGTGGGGAGGAGTGGGGAGGGATGGAGAGGACAAGGAATATGAGCCAATTCTGGGGAGGGGGTGACAGAAGGGGAGGCTGTGTGAGCATGGGGATGGCGAGGGCTGTGCTGGAGAGTTTCAGGGTGGGCCTTTAGGAGAGATGACCAGGCCAGGAATGAAGAGGAAGGACAGAAGTGTGGGTTGCAGAGGGTGTGTGGAGTGGAGGGCCGGAGCAGGCCCACAGGCCTTGCGTCCCATGAGATGCAAGGGGAGGTCACATGAGAGAGAGAAGTGGGGGAGTTTATGTTGCAGAAAGGCTAAAAGGAAGTGACTGTTAGGAGGTTATGGGATGGAGGGCAGAAGCCAGGCTCCAAGTTAGTATAGGAGAGACCAGAGCACTAAATATGGACCGCAGTGTCCAGCATTCTGGCAGCGGGGAGGAGGGGAGTGAGGATTCAGGATTGGGGTTTGAGTGCTCCCCGAGTGTCCACCGTTGGCCTGCTGTGTTCCAGGGACAGGGCCACATCTTTGTCTGTGTGCCGAGGAGGGAATTGGTGGGCCGGAGTCCCAGGGGGAGATTCTTCCAAGTAGGGGCTCCAGAAAGGTGAGTGATGTGTGTGGGTCTATGGGAAGGTTGGTTGCCCCCACAGAGAGGTGACTGGGTTACTACTGAACAGCTATCAGGGATGATGTGGCTTTGCAGGGGTCCAGTCCATGGGCCTGACATGCTGTGACTATGCTTTGAAGGCATTTTCCTGGTGGGAGGCCACCGCAGGTAAGGGGAACGAAAGGGTGGCTATGGCGGCTGATCCCCATGGCTGGTGGCCATGGGCAAGTGAAGAGGAACATGGTGCTGGGCACCATGCTGGTGGTGCCTGGGGCAGGGCCTGGCCTTGTGGGGCTGTGGAGAAGGGTGAGGATCTGGGATCCAGGACTGCTGTGCACCAGGCCAACTCATGGAACCCACCCAAGGGAGGCATCTTGTCCAGGAGCAGTCACATGGGCCTGCCGTTGTTTCCTGGAGCAGCGGGTGAGGTACTGTTTAGAATTTGGCCCTAACAGGACCAAATGGGCCCAGTGGGTCACACCTGTAATCCCAGCACTTTGGGAGGCCGAGGCTGGTGGATCACCTGAGATCAGGAGTTCAAGACCAGGCTGGCCAACATGGCGAAACCCCGTCTCTACTACAAATACAAAAATTAGCTGGACGTGGTGGTGCATACCTGTAATCCCAGCTACTCAGGAGGCTGAGGCTAAAGAATCACTTGAACCCGCAGAGGTTGGAGTAAGCCAAGATCACACCACTGCACACCAGCCTGGGTGACAAGAACGAAACTCCGTCTCAAAAAAAAAAAAAAAAAAAAAAAAGAATTTGGCCCTAACAAATGCAGGTTGTGATTATTACCATAAGTCTGGTTTCCTCTCCCGTGGCATTTCTTCAGTGGCCAGATGGTGTGAGTTGCTCCAGCAGACTCTTCTCTGTGCAAGAGCCAGGAAGACTCTAGAAAGGGATGTCTGAGGAAGCATCGGAGACTCGGTCCGGCATGCCTGTGTCATCTCCTGGCTTCCCCGGCCCTTGTGAGCCCCGCGGTTGCTTATTTATCCTGCTAAGGCCATAGTCTCAGGTTCCAGAAACTCTGGCAAGGAAGTCTGGGAAGGCTGATGGGGATGGGCTGGCAGGCTGGGAGAGGTGCTTTGTTTTCACTCCTCAGGAAGCCTGGGGCTTCTTGTGGAAGCCTCTGCTGCTTTGGGTGGGGCAGCTGTGCCCCCAGAAAGCCAGCTAGGGGTCTGCCTCCTAATTCCATGGGTGGAGACTATTGCAGTCAGCTGTTGGGATGCAGGGGAAGGTGGTGGTAGGACTGGGGTGCCCTGTCTCCTTTGCCCCCATGAGTGCAGGGGATGGATCTGAAAGGAGAGGGGAAAATGGATGTTTTCTTCTTTGTCTCTCCTTTCTCCCTGCCCTCAAGTCTGAATTAATTGGAGTCATTCCCAAGGGAGGAGGGTCACTTTATTGAATTTTAAGACAAGAAAGGGCCAGGCGCGATGGCTCACTCCTGTAATCCCAGCACTTTGGGAGGCCAAGGCGGGTAGATCAGGAGGTCAGGAGACCATCCTGGCTAACTCGGTGAAACCCTGTCTCCACTAAAAATACAAAAAAAAATTAGCTGGGCGTGGTGATGGAGGCCTGCAGTCCCAGCCACTCCAGAGGCTGAGGCAGGAGAATGGCGTAAACCTGGGAGGCGGAGCTTGCAGTGAGCCAAGATGGCGCCACTGCACTCCGGCCTGGGTGACAGAGCTACACTCTGTCTCAAAAAAAAAAAAAAAAGACGGCATGACGGGGCATGACACTGACGAGACCTTGGACATCAAAGGCTGGAGCAGGACTTCCTCCTAGGGAACATCCTCAGATATGTAGGTGCCACCGTGTGGGCTCAAACACCCAGGGTGGCCCAGAGCTGGTGGCTTAGGACTGGTGATCTGTCCTTGGCTACTCTTTTTTCAGAACTGTTTTGGTTTGAAGCTCAAAGGGGGCTTTTTATTTATTTATTTAGAGACAGGGTCTTGCTCTGTTGCCCAGGCTGGTGCAGTGGCACACTCACGACTCACTGCAGCCTCAACCTCCTGGGCTCAAATAGTCCTCTCATCTCAGCATCTCAAGTAGCGGGACTACAGGCATGCACCACCATGCCTGGCTAATTTTTAATTTTTTTGTAGAGACAGGGTTTCACTATGTTGCCCAGGCTACAAGGGGACTTTTAATTTTTTTTAATTTAAAAAAAATTTTGAAACAAGGTCTCACTCTGTCACCCAGGCTGGAGTGCGGTGGTGCGATCACAGCTCACCACACAGCCTTGACCTCTCCAGGCTCAGGCGATTCTCCCACCTCAGCCTTCTAATTAGCTGGGACTACAGGCACACACCACCATGCCCAGCTAATTTTTGTATATTTTTGTAGAGATGAGGTGTCTTCATGTTGCCCATGCCAGTCTCAAACTCCTGGGCTCAAGCGATCCACCCACCTCGGCCTCCCAAAGTGCTGGGACTCCGGGCATGAGCCACCATGCCTGGCCAAGGGGGCTTTTCAAAGGCTGGGCTGGGCTGTTCATTTGGAAAAAGGTCGGGGATGTTTTCACTTCACCAGGACTTCTGCCAGTCAGCAGGCTGATACATGGCATTAGGAGCCCAAGTCTTGCCTGGTGCTGGTGGACGTATCCAGGCCTGAGAGGCCGTAGTCTCCTAGTGCTTGGTGCTGCTAAGCCCAAGCCCAAGGAACAAGGTGGTTACAGGAAGTGGAACATTTAGCCTGGCAGAGGCCAAGGGCAGTAGGTCCCTACTCTGCCTGCCCATGTAATTAAAAAGTCACACACATGTGCGCAGCTGGTCTGATTAATGAGTTTGTTTTTTGATGTCACAGTTTCTGGGCACAGCAGAGCTGGCTCCTCTGCTCGAGGTCTCCTCAGCCTGCAGTTGAGGTGTTTGCCAGGGCTGCATTCCCTGCTGGGGCTTGGGGTCCTCTCCCAAGCTCACCTGGGGCGTTGGCAGTGCTTACCTCCTGGCAGTTCTAGGACTAAGTCCCCATTTCCTTGCTGGATTGCCCCTTCTAGAGCCTACCCTGTTCATAGGCAGTTCACACACAACTGTTTGCTTTTCTCTTCCCAGTGCGTCTGGGTTTTTTGAAAAGCTCCCTGGGTGACTTGACTCTAGCCCTCAGGGTTCGGACCCTTCTGTTTCTGGGAGTCCGTGAACACTGGCTGCAGGTTTTGAAAGGCTGGCATCTCAAGAGGGGAGCAGATCTCTTCATGGAGAAGGTTTCTGTGCAGTATGAAGGAAGGTTTAATTTTCTTGCCAACTTTTGAGATAATTATGTATACTTTTTTTATAT